ATTTCGTTGGAACCGAAAAGTGTACGCCGCGTTAATAAATTAGCTAGCATTTGTTGTACCAAAGAAACGTGTTTCTTTATAAGGATATCTGAGAAATAATTCTTTTTAAGCGACGTATGACGGTATTGCAATGTAATTCCAATCTTGTATTTTTCCAACGCGGGTGTCGCGTTGTCTCCCCGTTTCGTGGAACACTTTTGCACCTGTCAGGAACGTTAATTGTTTCTCGGGGATTGTAGCCATGAGAAGTTTGCATTCCGCAAAATTACAGCCTCATGGGACAGAGCTTGTCGGGCAAAGAAGCTAAGAAAAATAGCGGGCTTCGAAAAGAGGATTGTTAAAGGTGGAGAGAAAATGATGTTCGACAAAAAGGATAAATTGCGGAATATAAAAGTTTCTTTCGTATAGAGATGCGATAGAAAATTTGGCACAGCGTTTGTGTCGGTATACTAAGAGAACAATCTCTGATATTAATTGGAGAACATTAGTAAAAATCTCGCTCTGAAGTGGAAATGAGAGAATCGATAAAAGTTATGAAATTTAGAAATTTAAAAATCGAAGTTTACAAACTTGGAAATTTAGAAATTTACAAATTGAAATTTGCAAATTTGGGAAATTAGAAATTTAAAAATCGAACTTTGCAAATTTAGGAAATTAGAAATCTAAAAATCGTAATTTACAAATTTAGAAAATTAGAAATCGAGAAATTGAAATTTGCAAATTCGGAAAATTAGAAATCTAAAAATCGAACTTTGCAAATTTGGGAAATTAGAAATCTAAAAATTGAACCGTGCAAATTTGGAAAATTAGAAATTTTAAAATCGTAATTTACAAATTTAGAAAATTAGAAATCGAGAAATTGAAATTTGCAAATTTGGAAAATTAGAAATTTAAAAATCAGAATTTACAATAATATTTCATTGTTCCTATAAACGTGAAAAAAAATGAGAATCGTACATTTACGACACATTTCAAACAGCGGGAAAAAATTCGTCACATTTCAACTAGCTCCGATGAAAGTTACGAGACGTAATACGGTGCATAAGTTAAACAAAATTAACGACAGTGACCGCTCTATCATTTTCCAATATGCAACTTAGTATCCTTGATTACTTGTTCCGTTCTTTTCGTGGTTGCTTAATTGAATTTCAATAGCGGTTCCCTGGAAACGACCGGAAAAAATCACACGGATACGTGACTATGGCTGATAAAATCCGGGCGAATAAGCGTAGCTGTTAGCGCCGACCGTAAACCTAACATAAATTAAGTACGAATATTATGGGAATTCTACTGGCGCCAGACTGAAGGCATTGAAACGATCGAAACTGTTGCAGACTGATATCGGAGATATGGACTGTCTAATATTGTACGCGCGTTTAAGAATACATAACTTATACCCGTGATCGTTAAGCGTCGATTCTAAGCACAAAGTGTTTCCTCGTTCAAGCGGACAAAATTCCTTCGACACGACACGACACGACACAATGAAAAGACATCGACGACGACCACGACGCTGCTTCGTGGAATTTCAATTGTTATTTAAGAGGTGTTATGTACGCGAGGTGATACATTTCGATAAAAGGAAGCGTCCGTTCTTGAATCTGATTAGAGAGAGTGCAGGATGATCTTGCTTCGCTGATCGTTTTCTTCGCAATTTTTCCAATCTTCGAGCTTATCGATGACAAAAACAGATGGAAATTTGTATTTTTGAAAAATCATTTTCACGAAAATGATCAGAAATTTGTTCTTAATTTTTGAAACGATTGTAGAATTTATTGTTTGTCGGTAAGTTTTGCACGTGAAACTGAATAATACTTATTCGCGCGAAATTAGTAGTCTTTTTAATTGAAATATAAAACTTTTGCATCTTCTTTGCCGCGAAAATTCAAGCTAAATCTTCGAACGATGGGGTCTTCGTGTCGGCTGTTTTAAAATGTAAAGATCAGTCCCTTCTTCTCCTAGAAAAATCGTTGCTAAAATAACAATAGCACACTTGCAATTTTGTAAATTGCACTTTCACCAATTTTTCGAAAGAATAGTCACACGTATTCAAAACAAGTAGTAACAAATGATAAATTTCAGCTATAACGATAGAAACATTTGCAATAAATAAATAAATAGAATTATAAAAAATTTCATTTGTCTTCATATTTTATCAAACTTAATCTCTTCAAACGAAAATTGTGTACAATTCTCTATTTCTGAAATTTCCCACCAAATATCTAAGTTCCTTAAGTGCATTTTTCTATTCTCTACTTTCTCCTCCCCCTCTAAACGTGCAATTTCACAGAAAAATTCCCGCCAGTTTATTCACGAGAACTCTAGAATTTTCTAGCAAATTTGACCGTAGACTAATTCTTTCTCGTCTAACTTTATCCTCGTCCAACGATTCATCTTCGACATTTACAACTTTTTCTAATTAACCCTTAATTCGCTTCGAACGACATTCGAACCGCTCAAAAGCCGAAATTTCTCAAATTTATCAAGCACGTGCTTCGGTATTCAAATTTGAAGAGCATCAAAAAAAGCGAATGTACTTTAATCATTTCGACTTCTGAGCGGCTGATTTGCTCGCCTCTCGGTCTTATCCAAGGCTCCACCTGTCTCGTGAAGTTTGAACGGTAGCGATAACTTCTGTCTATGATGTGACATGGACATAATCTCGTAATCTAATCTCGAACCGTTTCGTTCAAAGTGAAACCTGTACGTAATGTGTTAACGAAGGAGTAGGCTTTCTTCTCTGTTTTTCTTTCTCGCAAGGAGAATATATTAGTTCTGGTGATGGAAAACGGTGGTCAGTTGTGCAACTCAAGATCGTAAAGGCGAAATTCATGGGTCTTGTTGTCTAGATGACATGACTGTGATTAGTTCTGCGAGTGTCGCTTAAGTTGTTAAGTTTCGAGTTAGTTCTGCTGCGTTCTCGTATCACTCTTTGGACTTGTAAAACGATCGAGGGCTCGTCGACTGATAACACGAGCACACGGATCAATTAACTTTAAAGTCCATTAGAAAAGATCGCGTGGATCTCTCTGTTTTTTTTTTCTTTTCGACGTCATTAACACTTTCGCGATCGATGAGTAATCTCGGTTTATTGCAGGATGATGTGTAGAATCGTTGATACGAATTTGTTAGGTGACTGTCAGGAGCCACTTGGAATATGGCTTGTTTGATTGATTGTCCCGAGTGAATTTCAATACCTGACTGTTTTTTTCTTTTTTTATCCAGTGTAGAAATTAATTCGCTGTCTTTTTTGTTTTTTACAAAATCTTGATATCTTTATGGATTCAACGCCACTGTACTTTGTTCGAGAGGGAATTTTTCGCGAAAAATTCATCCATTTTAAGCGGGAAAATTCTGTTCGGTTTTTCTTTTTTTAAATAAAAATTCAAGCTTGTGAAAGAAGACATCGAAGGAATTTCTACACCTAATGCAACAATAGGAAACGAGAGAATGTATGCGACACGATAGTTTTAAGAGTACTTCGATTAGTGAATGAATGTTAAGAGTTAGTGAGATGTTACCTTGTTTTCCTTTTTTTTTTTTTTTTTTTTTTTTAGTAAAACGCGTAATGATTGCAGGTCAATGCTACTGTTACGAGATAACGAGAGAAATCTGTTGTGTACAGAATTCTCAGTGTCGTGTTTGAAATGCAGATGAACGAAAAGTATAATGAAATAATATTTTTTGCTCGTTTTTCCAACTACTATCTTTGCAGCAATACACGCATCGGCAGTCAAAGTTCATTTTACACTGTGGTACATATTATCCTGTTAAAAGTGACAAAGAGCAAAAAAGAGAAAGCTGGTGTGTTATGTTAAGTTTACACGATATCTCCAATCAGACTTCGTTTATTGATATTAGATCGAACAATAAATTAATTAACATTATAATAAATTAATACAAAAGAACACTGTGGTACATTTATCCATTAGAACTGATGCGAATAAAAATAACACTAAAAAGGCAGAAGAAAGAAAGCAGACGACGAAACAATACTTACAGCAATTTACATGTTTAAACAGTATCTACCCCGGGTAATAATTTTGTATCATTGTACTTTTAAAACATCGAACGATCGTTGTTTCACCTTCGAAACCGATACTTATCGATCTTCTCATTTTTCACCTATCGTTTCTCAACAAGGTACACAGCTGTTCGAAACGAACCACCGGCAAAAATTATAATCAAACACATTTCGCGGCGCGGCAAAAAAATCAACCTCCTACAGTTAGGCTGCGCATAAAATTCGCAAAAGTATGTACACCGAAGAGCGAGAGAGAGAGAGAGAGAGAGAGAGAGAGAGAGAGAGAGAGAAAACAGATACAAACCTGCTTGAAACGGCTCCCGACCATTGTTGGCAAAAATCGCGGCACGTTTAAATCGCGAAAGTGTTAATTCGTCTCGATTCGCCAGCTTTCCGCTTCCTTTTCTTTCGAGCATAAAACGTCGCCTGTGCGCAAAACGAACCGTGCGAAACCTTGAAATCCTCCCGAAAACGGAGAAAAAGAATACTGATCTGCCCTTAATAATCTATGTTATCCGGCGCGAATCTTTATCGCGCGCGTTTCCACAATAAAATGCCGTCCGAAAAGTACGCGTCCTAGTTTCAGATCCTCCGGAGAGGGAACCGTCGATCTCTCTAAGTCTGACGATCGTTTCGTTCCGCGAAATGTCCCCCGGATGCAACTTTTTCGAACGGAGAAGAAAATTCACATGATGTGTGTATGTATATGTGTGTGTCTGTCTGCGTGTCTTCGCGTGATTTTTCCCTAGAAACGGTCTAATGAAATTAGACGCGAAAATTGGAACGCGACGGTGCTAGTCTGATCGTCCACGATAAATCCACGGAAACGGGACTTTTCTCTTTAGCGACGACGTGTTTCATCCATCCGCGTGATCCTTCCATGCGAGCACCGTGAAGAGATCTATGGGACTCGTCGTGTCGCGGCGTACAGGATCGAGCGATCGGTCGATCGCGCGCTACGACAACGCGAGAGAACGATGAGTCTGCCCGTTGTACGATAACGATTCGGCTGCGTCCTCGAATCTCGCGTCCTCGTCTGCCAGATCGACGCCGTAATTGCTCGAGGTGTTGTCCTCCTCTGTAACAAAGGAGCAAAACCAAAGGGGGATGGTTATTAAATTAAAGCCCGTTCCGGATAGACTGCCTACGGCAACACGAAAGATTCGATATCTCCTCCGATCTCTCTACCGAACTGCTGTGAATTCGATGCTATCTTCCACACATTGACGACTGTACACAGCTCGCGCGAACAGTCGAACAGCAAACATTTTTCTTCGATGTGAAGCTTTTGTTTTTCTGTTTTTTCTTCTTTTGTCGCGAGATATAGTGTATGTACTTACGTATATCACGAGTGGACGATAATGAATGCTGTTGGACTGGTTACTTTAATTTCATATGATTCTCACTCTTCCTTTTTTCTTTATTCTTTGCTCGTTATTATTGGCAGCGTTGATCGACGACGTCTACGCGAGCCGACGAGGAATTCAAATGTAAATGACGCACGAGAGTCAATTCGTCTTGGCACTCTCTCTCTTTATGCTTGGAGATCAAAAATGGAGCTAGTTGAAGATTTCTGAATGATCGTGATAGCTTTTAAACGACTCGAAAGCGTTACGTATGGATGTACAGTACTGTTCAGAAATTTCGAGTGAAATGAAATTGCCCTTTGGAAAATACTTGTTTTGAAGATGCTAGTTTTCTGACTTAATTAAAATTAGAAGTAGAAGTTAGAATTATAATGCACTTATTTTTTAGGGAAAACAACGGGTATAGTTGTAGCATCGATTATCAATATTATCAATACAAATTTGTGAAAAGATTGTCTTTCCTTTTTTGTGACCGCTTGCTTTGATTTCAGAATTTCCTCGATTAATTTTTCCAATTTAACATTGCCCCAGGCTTCTTATAATTTTCATAGTGGGAAATTTATCCACAAGAGCTCGATTCACACTGTTATAATATTACTTTAATTCATAAACGACGAAAGAGCTTCGTTTGTCCACGTAACGAAAAGTATCCGAAACTTTTGAGCAGCAATGTACTCCACATCGACACACTCTTCGCATTTAAATTCAGCTGGAAATTAACGTAACATTAGCGACGCGTGGAAAAACATAATAGCATGAAATATCGACAGTTTTACGCAACACGACGAATATTTTCTTCAACACTCCCGATTGACGATTACATACGAGCCAGATTTCCCGCGTTATTCATTATCGACAGTATTCAGATCGCGTTATAAAAATCACCGTACCGAATGCGTGTCACGAAGTTGAATTTATCTGCAGGCCCGGCCTAACAGAACCCAAACCGTTACCTCCGTCTTTATGGTTTGCTGCGTAAAGACAATGCAAATTATTCAAAAGCTACTGTTCGCGAACGTGTTACGATCTCTCTCTCTCTCTCTCTCTCTTATAATTTGCGTAACAGTGAACCGTCGTTGTATCGTTTCCTGATGTAATTACGATATATACGCACGTTCGTGCCATGAAAGAACCACGGCGTTCAACTGCACCCATTATAATTCAAAGAAAGGGAGGCCTATTCTGTGCGTGATTGTGCACGAGGACAGCCGTTGAAAATATAAACGCGTGCAAAATATGATATACGACGGCGATACCGCGAACCAAATATATATAATAGGAGAAAAATATCGTCAACTCGAATTGTCGTTTATTTATACGTGACTGAGAGACACCGTATAAATAAGCACGGTTATTTATAGCAGGCTAGGTGCGATTCCGTTATGTAAAATTAATAATTTCAAACGTGGCGATCTGGTTCGCGGAACAGAAATGTTAGAAATAATATCTGACCAATGCTAATGAGATGGTAATCGATGTTAGAATACATTTGTACAGCCCAGCAATTCTACGATGTAACGTAATTCTATTGATATCGTTGATACACGTGGCAAATAGAGCATGCCAGTTGTTCGATAAATTTTGTGTCGTCGTTTGGGAAAAAAATCGTAGATTGTGGTCGAGATAGGAGACAGGATAATTCAGGATGCTTGAAGCTGATGCGTAAAGTCTTCCGTTCACGCGCGACATGCAACAGGTTTCTACGTCTACACAACGTGCACGCACGGGCAAAACAATATCCGAGCTTTTTATCGATTGGAAGAGAGGAAAGAGTTACGTGCGTGAAGCTTCGTCAATTTTACTATTTTTTTTCTTGCTTTTCGTGATAGGTTAATGGAAGTATACTTATTCTAGATGTTGTGAATAAGATTATGTGTTAGACATGCTGTTTCTTTAGAGGATATTGAAATAGTGTGCAAGGAGTAATTAGTAATTTATTTAATAGACAGTTGTTGTTTCATTTGAATATCTCTTTTTAAGCATTATTCTTGTGTAAATTCGGACCGTGGAAGATATTATAACACTGCCCCAACTTTTCCCGCCAAAAAATTCATTTTCAAGCATTTTGCAAATTCAGGTATCTACTGAAAAATTCCTGAGAAATTTTCTTGCGAAAATTTATTCACAAGAAGGGAAAAAATTGTAAATTCGGACCGTGGAAGATATTGTGTCACTTTCCCAACTTTTCCCGCCAAAAAGAAATAGTCACCGAAAGAAGAGTTACACGAGACATAGAAAAGCAACGGTTTGAAGGTAGAAGAATGAGAATAAGAAGAAGAAGCAGCGAGGAGAATTCGTTTCGACGAGATTCGTCAGGTTGCATCGTTTCCCATGGACCGTGTCGAAGGCGACAACGGAACGGTAGGAAGCGTAACGCGAAACGAGACTGCACACACGCGAGGCGGAGGCATCGCAAGCGGAACTCTAGAATTCCACGGCTAGTTCTCCTCCGGGTTTTCGCGATTGACTGTGTTTAACGGGCGAGACAAGCGAGCGCGTGGGCGCGTATATTCTCAGAGGCGACTCGAACAAGGCGAATTCCACGCTGGATTACGACGATCGCTTGCTGCGCAGACGGCTCGTGAATGGCCCACGCCTCCGAGAGAAATAGATAAATGACCAGACGCGTATTCCGCTTTATCACGGCATGGGAAACGCGGCCCCTCGACATCGGCGATCCCTTGCTAAATGCGAAATGAAATCGGAATGGAAGTGTCGACGGCCACGCTGTTACTGTCTGCCCGGCGTCGACCGTTCCACCTCGCTCTGCTCGATGAAAAACGGGTCTCTCTGTGCTTTTATTTTTCCATCTCTCGCTTCTTGTGTTTTTCTTTTCTCTGTTTTTGTTCTTCCGTTTTTGTTGTTTTTAAGGAGACGTTTAACTTTCCAGGTTTTTGCACCGGCGCGACGCGGCAGCCTGGTTATTGACATCGGACTTGGACGAGGTACGTAAATGCCTGCTTTATAACAGATTTACGAGAGCGGTTGAAGAGCTGACGAGGAATTTTTAGGAATGATAATTGTTCGGCAGTTTGGTGTATTTTGTTGGTGAAGTTTTTGGTCGTGTAATGTGAAGGTTTAGCAGAGTTCGGGATTAAAGTGCATTTAGCGTGATATTATTTTCTAATCAAACTAAGCCATTAATCCTCTGTAACCTCATTTTTCCTTGTTCACGAGAAGAAAAACTGCGGGTAATTGCAATTTTGCATTTTGACGAGAGAAGCAGGAATTAGTAATTATTATAAAGAAATTAGTTACTACGGTGTTACAGAGGTATAGAGGGTTAACAGGTACAAATTTCGATTTTCTTAAATAGGAATAGTAAACATAGATTTCTATCTTAAAGTAGACAAAATTTGAATAAATATAGCGTACTATTACCATGTTACAAAATGCACACTTTAAGCATCTCTTCATAATTACAATCAAAATTTATTAAACAATCCACCAAAGACCAACGTTCAAATCACTAAAACATTCTATTCCTAATTTTAAATTTCCACCCCTAAAACCACCATCCCCATACAAATTAATAAACCCAGGAAGATTTTGAAGCAATGAAAAAAATGATTCGACGAAACGATCTAGAATCGAAACACGAATGACAGTATAGGTGAGCATGAAGCATCGAGCAGGACTACTTAAGCAGAGGCTACTTTCAGTAAGGACAGTCCAGCAAGAACAGTATTCATTGACCAGGAACGTGTGTTATCTACGTAATCACGTGTGGAGAACTTACCCATATAGAGAGGAGACGTGTCGTAGGCGTTGCAGGGTCCAGCGTGTCGCGTCTCGAGGACGAAGCCGGTAACGCAGGCGTCCTTGACGATGTGACACCAGCTGGGATAGGTGATATTGTTAGTGGCGCACAACATGGTCGCCGATGGATCTCGATCACGGTGTGTCCGGTTCCGGACGCGCTCCCGCTTCCGGGGGCAACGATAGGTACAGGTCACGCAACGTGGTCGTCCCGATTTCATCTCCGACAGACACGTTTGACCCTCGCGACAACGAATCGTAGTGCAGTCTGCGTTTTCTGGAAAATTAGGGAGAAAACCGAGATGTGTGAAATTAACTTTCATGATACTTTTTGTTATTTAACGTTTCGCGGAACTAATTTTCATGATATTGTTTTAAAATTCAATATTTCGTGGAATTAATATTTGATAGTTTCTGAAATTTAACACTTCATGGAATTAGTTTTTATGGTACCTTTTTTAATTCGATATTTTATTACATAAATTTCATGATTAATTCAACCACTTCACTTGTTATATGAAGACGAATTGAGGCAAATTTTTCGAAAAGTGGACGGAGGCAGTGATAAATCAAATTATATAGTTATCTTACTGTTGAGGTATTCTTATGGGAGAAACATTCTTTGGGAGGAATATTTCAACAGTGATACCAGAAATCTTTGGTCGAGCTGTAGTTTGCGATAAGCTTATCACGACACAGTTCGACCATTCTACGCCCCGTTCACTTTTTAAACAATTTGCACAGTGAGCTGGGTTCATCTTCGCATAACGAGTGAAACACCGTTTCAATCATATCTTTATCTATTAAAATAAGTGATAAAAATAATTTATATTCTATAACTTAATACACAGTTATGGTAATAATAATTTAACATAACCTGCAATGTGAAGACGACTGTTAGACAATCCTAACGACTTCAGAACGATTCTCATAATTCTAACCTGTCTTAAAGAAAACTCTGTCCTCATTTTCATTCCCTATTTTGGGGTTTTCTATCAAGTATAGATCCTCACCAAGGATTTTCACAAGTTTGCCTTCATTCTTATTCTCTACCACTGTACAAAAACGCTATTTAGGTATATTTTATCAAATACAGCGCATCAGTGGACTTTATGAATCGCTGAAAGTTTTCACAATGCTCTATGTCCCTCTCAACCCTTATTTTCTCTTTTATAACCCTCTTAAAACTACGCAGGAAAAATGCAAACGGTTTTTACGATGCTAAAGATGCCACGTCGCTGAGGACTTGTTCCCTCGGATAGGTAGGTGGAAATTTTACGATGATTCATTTCGACATATTTCACCTGTGTTCGTTTTATGAACAAGATGCTTTTTTATAGATACGTGAGATTGTAGATTTGATGTATGCTGATGTGTCTGAAGATGTGTGTCTTGTAAAGTTCCTCGTGGGGGATTAAGTCCTGGTGGCGAATCGTTTTGTTTGTGTAACTGTTCATGCTTTTTCGTTTGGATGGTCGGTGATGTAACTCGAATACCAAAGGACCTTATGAAACTGAATTTCTTTTCTACAGCGGCTACCCGTGTTCTCTTTCGCATTTACACGAAAAGTCTAACTTGAAATCTAAGTGGAATTGAATTGAAATTAAGAAAAACAATTTGTCAATTTTAAACTAAATTATGAAATTTTATTAAACTTCTCTCAAAGTTTGACTCGAGTCTTAAACTCAATTTAAGAAAAAAAATTTGTCAAATTTTACGCTGAATTATGAGATCTCTCAAAGTTTAACTTGAGTCTTAATCTTAACTTAAGAAAAAGAATTTTGTCAAATCTTAAGCTGAATCATGAGATCTTCTCTAAAAATTTAAATCTCTAATCAAATCATAAGCACAGAATTCCAAAATTTTCCCAAATATAACAAAGAAAAACCTGTGAAATTTTCCTCAGAGCTTAAAATCTCAAGCTAAATCACTAGATCCCTCTCAAACTTTCCCTCGAATCAAATCACAAGCGTACAATTGCAAAAATTCTCTCAAGTACCAACAAGCAAAGAAAAGAAAAAACGGAAACCTTAAAATTCCGTTAAAACGAAACCGTCGGATCGTCAGAAAAATACCGAGTTCACGATCGTTCCTTGTACCAAGACCTTGAGAGCTCAAACAGATTGACCTCATCGCGGAAGATCGAGTGGCAGGCAAAGTCACGGATGTGGATTGATTTTCGCGAACGCGTGGCATCACCGAGGAACGTGCACGTTACATAATACCGAGTGGCACTGAAAGGAACTGGCTAGTAGTAGAAGGCTACTGTGACGAGGCAGAAACGAGAGACAGGTTCAATCGTCGAATTAGACGCGCTCTATCTTCGTCTCCGCTCGGTAGATTTGTGCGGTGACTCGTTCGCAGACACGATTACTGCAATAATATGTCGTTACACCTACTTGGGTCAATGGCCCACTTCTCACGGGGGGATCGTGTAATGTATTGCTCATTTTTCATTCTGACAGTCGTCAACACATACGCGACCCGAAGAAACGTTACGCAATTCGTGCATCGACCGTTCACATTCAGATAAATAATCACCACGGTTAGCTGGCTGACGAAGAGTTACTATAGGATCGGCAAATTTGACTTTTAAATAGGCGTAGCGGATATTAAAGCACATAGTACACCGCGCATAATAAAATGCACGCAGTTCCTGAGAATTCTCAAGTATAACGGAGCTAAGATTTGTTTGGCTTGTGTGGTCATCGAAATTACTTGATACCTAATCCAAATTTCTTTCCGACGGAATTAAATTTAACAAACATTTCGAATTCTTGCCTTCGAAAATGTCTTTTGTGCCATTTGGACATTTTGATGTTCAGAAGTCCACGATATTTCACCCTAATCCACTTTAATCTACTCAGCTGGAAGTACTTTTGAAAAAATTGGTCGTAACACCTAATCCAAATTTATTCCCAACTATAAATTCATTAATAAAAATTTCAATCCTTTCGAAAATATCTTTTGTACCATTTGGATATTTCGACGTTCAGAAGTTCACGTTATTTGACCCTAATCCGCGTCAATCGGTTCAGCTTAAAATACTTAAAAAAAAAAAAAGAGGAGAAAAAAAGAAAGGGTAAAAATACGATCACGTAGATTTAAATGATACATGTACAATCGATCTACTGTGCACCACAGATGAATATCAATTATTCCCGAGCATCGTCGAAGGTATATATTTGTTTGTCTGTCTGATGTCTGACGTACAAAATGGCGGACGTACATTCTTTGTCTGGTCTAGGGTTCCTAGTGCACGCGTAAGCCACGATCGGAGGCAATCATCGTATCATTTGCGAGTGTAGTTGTAGTCTGTGTTCGCAGTACCACGTGGCTGTACTAGATTAATATTAAGTGATTCACGCTCCGTAATGCGATCCTTGTTGTTAGACACGATGCTTAGGTCTACGTGCGTACTTTTATATGGAAGTCCGCTCGATGCTGGATCTCATTGCCTGTTACACGCTGGCTAGCGTTACATTGTTATACATTGAGAGACATCTGCTTAGCGGTAGCAATTGAATTTATTAAGACACATTACGCAAATTGTAGTACGGAGAGCATTATACTAATGAGAATACAGCACTGCATCTTTATTAGAAAAATATATGGGAACGCGTGTACGAGGGACGACAGAAACATCCACTTGTTTCCTATAGGGTGTATCGTTTCTTTTTTTAGAAGAATATTAATAAGACGTATTATTACGTCTTGTGATATCTGTTCAATTGAAAAAATAAAATGTAGATAATGTTGTATCATATATTTCAAAGCTTTTGAAGGAAAAATGAAATTTCTCGTGAATGATATATCATTTTTGTAGGAATATTAGTAAGACGTATTATTACGTCTTGTGTTACCTGTTCCATTAAAATAATAAAATATGGTATGACATTCTTGTATCATACATTTGAAACTTTTTGAAAGAAAAGTGAAATTTCTCGTGAAATATATCATTTTTATAGGAATATTAGTAAGACGTATTATTACGTCTTGTGTTACCTGTTCCATTAAAATAATAAAATATGGTATGACATTCTTGTATCATACATTTGAAACTTTTTGAAAGAAAAGTGAAATTTCTCGTGAATGATATATCATTTTTATGGGAATATTAGTAAGACGTATTATTACGTCTTGTGATATCTGTTCAATTGAAAAAATAAAATATAGATAATGTTGTATCATATATTTCAAAGTTTTTGAAAGAAAAGTGAAATTTCTCGTGAATGATATATCATTTTTATGGTAATATTAGTAAGACGTATTATTACGTCTTGTGTTATCTGCTCCATTAAAATAATAAAATATGGTATGACATTCTTGTGTCATACATTTGAAACTTTTTGAAAGAAAAATGAAATTTCTCGTGAAATATATCATTTTTATGGGAATATTAATAAGACGTGTTATTACGTCTTGTGTTATCTATTTAAATGAAATAATAAAATACACATAAAAGTGAATCTTTTTGAAAGAAAAGTGAAATTTTTCGTGAGTGATACATCATTCTTATAAGAATATTGATAAGACGTATTATTACGTCCTGTATTATCTGTTCAATTAAAATAATAAAATACACATGACATTCTTGTATCATAAATTGCCACCTTTCTGAAAGAAAAATGAAATTTCTCGCGAATGACCTAGCATATTTACGATCACATTAATAAGACGTATTATTACGTCTGGTATTACCTGTTCAATTGAAGCAATAAAATACGCACGACGTTCTTGTACGATAAGATGCAAATTTTTTGATTAACGATATGATAAATTCGCCGGTTAATATTTCCTATTCTCTCGTCGATCGTAGGTTTCTCTAAAGTAAGATTTCACAAAAGGGTTGTCAACGTGTAGAATTGACAGCGCGAGAACGAATAAGTGTATCTCTTAAATCAAACGTCTCACCTGTCATTTCGTAAGATATTTGCACGCTAAACAGATATCAAGGTAATCATGTCAGATCGCGCATGTTTCCATACGTCAATCAGCACCTACATTGTGTCAATGCTACGCCAGGTTGAATGACCAATGACCCTCGTGCACGCCGTTGCATAACATTACATTCTGTTTCATAGTCATTACGCATCAAACGATACGGTAAATCGCGCGGTGCCTCGTTCCTTTTGACATTTAAGATGAATCATTCACGGTTATTCGTAATTGTGTTACAAAGAAGGCGCACAAAAAATAAAAGTCGAGGCAGAGAAAAAGTGTTTATCAAGTCTGTTTAGCGATGTTTGCATTGCGCTTCCTTTCATGAGAACCGAT